AGACAAATTACAGACTTTTCAAACACTTTTGGCACAACCAGCAATCTACGCCCTGATAATTACTATGTTTTTGCTCTGTGACGTGGTAGTTTTCACACAACTCACCACAAAACAGACAGATCTGTCCAAATCCCAGGTTGAGAAAGTTTTTAGATCGTTAAGAATGAAGTAAAAAAAAGCCGCTAACAATCCTAAATATCTTCAAAATTGCAGTATGTTAAGCTGGGATAACACCTCTATATAGTTCATAGAAGTTAAAAGGACAAGAAGTCAAACCCAGAGGTGACAAATGTTTTAAACAGGGACTATATCACAACCTTTCAACAATTTCTCGAACTGCAAACCACAAAACTGATCATCAATTTGGTGTCCTACCAACTGCTGGTGTTTTTAGGAATTATATGTTGCCTGTCTGTTTACTGATTGCTTCCTGAAAAATTCAAACTGCATTTAGCATCCTCCAAAAGAACTTTCAGGTATGTTTTCACAAAGTTACCTGGTTTAAATGTTCAACCTGCATACATGTATATACACTGCAGTGTCTTGACAAGAGACCAACAAGTACCCTGAACTTAGTCTGTGAAAAATTGTGCTAATCCAGAAATCCTAAATAATTTGCTGGTATTCCTTTGATTTGTGAAAAAATTTTGCTTCCTCCAAAAGAAATTTCAGGTATGTTTTCACAAAGTTACCTGGTTCAAATGTTCAACTTGCATACATGTTTATACACTGCATTGTCCTAACATGAGACCTACTGGAACACTGTCCACAAACACGGTGACTCACGACACACATTCCAATGTCCACCCATAGGACCTGCCCACTTTTCTTCTGTCCCGAGTTTTTAGGCACTGAAATGGTTTAAACTGCACAGAAAACAGCAATCTGAGTACCAGAAATGTCTTAGAATGGCAAGGTGTGGTCCTGGTTTCCTTCAGTCTTTGTGATCTTCTCTAAGATAAGGAAAGTTCAAGAAGCATATTCAATGATCCAAAGTGACTATAAACAATGTCGACAGGATGCCAGGCTTTTGAGTTGATCCCAGGTTTACCGGTAACACAAAATAACTTAGACACAACTTGAAGTACTTTCCTTGCTTGTGAACAGTCTTGTTTTCACACCTTCCTTCTTACTTTGTTGTTGTTAAGATCCAGGCACTCACATCCAAGATGTCTTCAGGCAAAATTACTACAATCTCAACCCAAAATATTCACAAATCTATGTCGGGGTTGGCTAGTTTGGATCCAAATGGTTGATCCTAGTTTGCAAAACGAACATCCAAGACTTTCCTAACTTTGCTTGCCTGCCGAGAGTCCAGTTTTCAGGCCTATCGGCAAGCTCATATGGTTGTAAGTCTTCCAAGGATAATTACATGACGCTGTAAGAAATTTCACTCACAATCTCAGCCGACAGTGGTCCCAATGTTGGCTCATTCCTCTAGTAGCAAAATTCTCAATCCTGAGTCTTGTGTGGAATAAAATGCTCCAAGTACGAAAAGTTTGCTGGTGTCAACTCGTCTCTAGAATGTCTTATAAGCATTCAGACCTTTCTTCCAGCTTGTATGTTTATAAGACTCCCTCCCACGATAGTGACAGTGTCAGGAATTTCACTCACAATCTCAGCCCACTGTGGTCCCAAAGTTGGTTCATTCCGGATCCTAGCCAAATTGTCAATCCCGAGGCTTGTGTGGAATAAAATGCTCCAAGTTTGCAAAGTTTGTTGGTCTCAACTCCGATCTGCGTCCGTAAAACGTCTCGTAAGCGTGGGAATCGCGAGCGTCTTTACGAGGCCGGAATCACCTTTGTGACGCCTCAATGGGACAATTTCCCGCCCTACTGGCCAGCGGGACAGATCGTTATGTTCAGGTTAATTAGTGGGAGGGGCAGGTGAGGGCTTACCTGTGTGACTTTTTGAAATGACACATGGGCAGGTAAAAATGCTTGTTGACACACCTGTGTTTTTTTCCAATTTCTTGTCTTCAACACTCTTTGAAGAAGTGTCATTTGACAGTCTAGTTTTGGAACTTGTCTTCTTGAGTGACTTTTAAAAAAGAAAAAGGTCTAAAGCCTTGCAGAAACACTTGAGTGTGCTTATGCTAATTTCTTATCTTCTAAATTCTTAAAAAAACTTTCAACATTTGGAACATTTGGGAGCTTTGAAACAATCACACCTTCTCAGTTTGTCATGATGAGTCTCGATAACTATGTTCTCGATGGAAAAGTGCCAGACTCTTACTTTTCAGACGCTGCATTAGCATGATAAGGCCACACCAATTTAATTTGTTGGTTCTCGGATTTTTTCAGAAAAAATATGAAGCGACAGGGCGAAAAAAAATAAAAATAAAAACAGGCCTAGGCATCCTATTATAGGCTTAAATGCTACATAATGAGCCATGAAGTCAACACAAAAGGCTGGGTTAAAATTTAAACATTGAATTTTGAACTTTTAATCAAACCACTGCAATGATAGATGGGAAAACTGTAACAAGTAGGAAGAAAAGAACTTTCCTCAACTGTTGGGGGCAAAACATGAGCATTTTTCAGTTGATTCAGGACCAGAATCAAATTTTTTTTTTTTTTTGCAAATCAGAAAAAAACGAAGAGGCGAATCCGAGAACCAACAAATTAAATTGGTGTGGCCTAATAACATAGTAATCACTGCTCCACCCTACCTAATCACAGTAGACAACCCAGTCAGATGACTCACCTGATCAGATGCGGGAAAGTACAGAAAGTACTAAATAATAGGCAAATACATATTATATGGATATAGGGATTTTTTTACATGACCACCAGTACCTCTCACCCTGCATACGTTCCTCACATAAGCAAGGTCAGACTAAGAGAGTCACTACTGTCTGTGTAAAAGAAAATCCCTAATATCCTAAAATATGTTCTACCGACCAGTGATGAAACTATTTTCGGAAGAACACTATTAAAAGAATGTTTAGATTTAAAAACGTTAAACTCAACATGTTGACCCATCCAAAGGCATACACTTGTATGTAAGTTCATTCGTATATTATAGGGCTTATTCACCACAGATTGTCACGTGACTTTCCCCCTGGCGTCCGCCATTTTGGGGCTATCGCTATGCTATCGCTATGCAATGCTATGCAAACTCTTGGCGATAGTTGTGTATTTTGGGCCGCAATCTACGTTTTGGACACTCTTCTTGTTAGTAACATTGTCCTTGGGGTTGTTCTGGCTCCGTGTCCACTTTTCATGTTGTCAAGATTGGCTTTTCAGTCTTTCTTTGCTGATAAGAAATCGGTGTGTTTAATCCTGGCGCGGCGTACGGGGCTGTACATGTACATGTAGATTGAAACGTGGGTAGCCATGAACACGGTAAAATGTTGGACTCGGAGCTACCTGTCCCTTTACTCTGTGGTAAATGTCCATGTAGAACAGGGCACTGGCAACTTGTAACACTCACCTTGTCCAGCCACAGTCGCGGCAGTGCGGACTGAGGATGGCGGCCGGCGGCTGATGGCCCCGCATTTGTTTGTTATTATCCAGACACAGTCCGGGGCTGTTCCAAAATAGCGACCTTTTGCGTATCCCGACTACAACGTACTTGTCACCACGCAACTGCATGTCCCACAACACTCTCTACACATCCTGATACAACGCTTCCAGACTCTTAGAGGGTTTGAACCGATGTTGTGTGTAAAAACTTCGGCCCAGTACCAAATACGAAGCTAAGTCGCGTCAATGGACTCCGCTGGCGGTAGACGCCGTCTCGATCAGGCAGACTGATCAAAACTCAACAAAAACGGGTCAATCCCAACAGATTTTATTTTGTTCCAGTAACGAGAGGTATGAGTGGTGGTAAACTCTTCGTGTAATAGGACAAAGGACAGTTTACCTAACGTTTGTCGGCCATTTCAACGCTTGGAAACTCGCTGTAGGCGCTGTAGCCCCAAAATGGCGTCGCACGGGACATGAGGGGTCGTGACGTCATGATGACGTGTGGTGAATAAGCTCTATATATATTGTTTGTTCGTAAGTATAGTTGTAGAAGAACTTTAAAAAGTCACAGTACTTTTGGTGTGTCAATAGAAGACTTTTCTACCCGTTCCCAACCAGAAATGGGGCCTCCCTGCTAACATATTCAATTGTGTGTGCAACAAAGTAAAATTGGTACATGGAAAGGCCGGATGCCTCGGGGCATGTTTGGGCTTAATTTGGCTCAACTGACACAAAACGCTGATAGATCACTCCTAATATTAGACATCACACTTTCATATGGTTGACAAGTATCAAAAAATGAAACTTTATGTCTAGGTTAGAAGATGGTGTTTAAACAAAGTTGAAAAGTGTATTCGAGAAGTTTTTGTAGGGTGGGTTTAAAACAGATTTGCCCTTTCTGAGAAAATGGCATCTGGATATCCTTTGTTTACTCACAAGAAAGTGGTCGAACCTGTTCTGCCGACAGGTTTAAAAGGGAAGATCTGATTGGCTTGCTATCTCTTGATCAGATGGATTGGTAAAAGGATGTCTGTGATTGGCTAAGGTTACAAGGCATGTGGCTGACAGTTTGGTTCAATTGTATAGCCATGTAAAGCTGGTAGAATTAATCTACTATCTCTTACCACTTACATGTAGTTGTGTACTCTGCTGCACTTATGCCACAAACCACAAGGTGGCACTGGTGTCACACAGGAAAACATTGTATGTCTTAAAACATTATAAAAATCATTTGTGAGAATATCGTTGAAGAGGTTCACCAGTTAGGTAAGATGAACAGTTAGTAGAATATTCATCAAGGAGCGACCGTTTTCAAAAGGTTGAAACACGTACCTATGTATGTACATGTACATGTACACAGTCGACATAAAAAATTTGGACGAGGTACATGTATGCGTATACTTTCTACCTAGCGTTTCAAAAACAGTCACCGATTGATGAATATTCTAAACCATTTGTAGGAAGAAATGTGTATTTGTGTTGTCTACTAAGACATAATTACAAAGTTTGAAAAGTCTTTAAGACACTTACTTCCAGATCTCTCCCCCTTGCGCTTGTAGAGTGACCTGACGACCTTTGCACTGCCGAACCTTTTGAATCTCTGCTTGATGTTGGAGTAGAACCACTCCGCAGACTGGGTCTTCAGCTCTCTGGGAGATAGATAAATAGATAAAAAAAACAATTGAACGACTAGAAACTTAAAGTAATATTTGCAAAGCAAAAGCATAAAGTTTACCTTCACATGGTCTGGCCTAATAAACTACAGCTGCCGACGTCTGTTTACTCATACTCAAACATCTTCATATATATATATATATATGGTGACCAGCCCCTCTAACTCTGTCCTACTACTTGCTTAATAGTGTAACCCAACACCACAAGGTGTCTGCTACTGTAACAGCACTAGTTACCATGGTGAGATGGTTTTTTGGCAAGCTACAGTACCAGGCTCCAAACAGAGTGTTCAAAGTGACTGAAAATTTGGTTGAATCTATATAATTTGGATCCATGGTGGAAATCAAGAACTGGAATTATGATTTGTGCCATTTTGATACGATCAGAATGTTTTTTTTTGTAGAAATGTCTATGTTCATTGAATAACACTTATTATGCATGCTTGAATGTAATCATGACCAGGAAATGTTGTATTTAAGTCATCAGTGTCACTAACACTGTAAGGGTTTGGATCATAAGGTGAGGGGTTAAAATCCTGCCCAAGCTATTTGGCAGAGAAAGAAAAGATGCAATTTATTAGATCATTTCAGGCAGCAGTAGAATCTTCTTGTCTTAGCCTCCATCAGTGCAAATCTTAAGGCAGCATTCTCACAAAATGTCCCCATCTTCTCTCTTTAAGACCAGTTTAACATTCACAGCATTAAGCCGGCTCATCGGAGATCAAATTACACGCCAAATGAAGGTGTCAAATTACAATGTGATGGATGAGGTACCCTGGAAAATCCATCGCTGATGTTTCAGGTTTTGATTTTTACATCGCTGCACGCCATTTTCCCTATAACAGTCGTGTCTAGAGTCGTAATTAGAGGATGTTGTGGTTGTTAGTTGAGCTGTCGGCAGCAGACATTTTCACCTTTTCTGTAGTTCCATTTGAAGTCTTAATTTCCATGTGACAACAGAGGCATTTTGACTTAGTGGAAATCGAAAGTTTCCCCCTAATTAGTTTTACAGTGTTGTTAATTTGCCAGGGGAGACAGTCAGGTACGGTAACTGTAGATTTGACTGCTCTGATATGGGATACAGGGTTGGATATTGAAGAGCTAGCCCAGTGTACTGCATCTAAAGTGCATGTTTGTTAAACCAATACTGGTACAACAGTTCTGTACTAGTCATTATCATAATTATGTTAACTTTACTTTCACTGAAGGAAAATATGAATCAAAGTATAGTACTGTTTTTGCTCTGTTTCTTCTTCTTCTCCAAACATGAGGTCAACTGGTAACTGGTGCTGTAACAGACACCCTGTGGTGTTGGGTTACATTATGTAGCATGTGTTGGAGTCTCTGACTCTCTGACTGGAAATATTGTTCACATTATGGAAAAGCTTTCTGACCCACCTAACTCTCTGGCATTGATTTGCTATGGAAGGCATCCAGCTACTGTACATTTGACAACTTGGATAGGGCTTATTGGATGAAAACTGAAGATTCTGGAACACTAACAATTGGCAATTGGACTGATAACGGACTGATGATTTACTATTTATTTTGTATTATATCTTTTTGGTTTGATTTGTAATCTGTGGCCCTTCCCTCACCCTCGACCTTGTTGAAAAGCGGTCATGTGTATATATAGATATATACAATGTATAGATATATATAACTACTACTACTACTACTATTACTAACAGCTACAAATCATGACATGCAGTCCAGGTTTTGGATCCCAAACTTTGTGAACTATAATTATAATGCACCCACCTGACTCTCTGGCAGAAGCTGCAGACCCACACGTTGTCCTTACTGTCCAGAGCTGAGCAGTCCTTACACACATAGTTGTTACAGTCTGCACATCGGATCTGGGCAAACATACAGAAGTACAAACTTAGGATTTAATTCTGAGTTAATCCAACCTTATCATTACTACTTCAGTCTATAAAAACCTTTGGCAGATAATTATATACTCCATCAGATGTGTTTAGAAGAGTCATCTTAAATTTTGAATGCAATGGTGAGCAGAACATGAATTGTGCTGTAAAAATGGGTCACTAATACTTAGGAGCTTACAGTTCAGTTGTAGTTTAGCACCGGTATTTACATGCCCATATACTGAACAGAACTATATTGAAAGAGAATTGACAGAGAATTACGTTAAGTATTGTAAAATGAAGTCAAGACAGAAGTGACAAGGTTACCCAATAACCAAAAAATAGACATAAGTGTTGTCTATACAGATTGGAACAGCTATTCTCAATTCATTCCTCAATTCATTCCTTCATTCCTTTACAAAGACTGGAGTTGTACAGTCAAAAATTTCTTGTGTTGAAAATTACAGTTTAAACTTGCTGCATAGCTATTCTCAATGTTTAAGACAATTTATAAGACAACAGCTTGTGATGGTACCCACCTTCCTGTTAAGCAGAAAGAAGAAGGTCTTGTTGCAGCGTACACAGGCGTTGTCGTTGTTGCCGCCACCCTGAGGCTTAGCCAGCACCACGCCCTTCCCCTGGTCTTCTTTTATGTTCTCTGCTACTTTCCTGCAAAACACAGAAAAAAAAAGTGTGAAGGGACTGTGCATGAGCTATGAAGTGAATGGAATAACAACTGAGGACATCCATCATTTTCTAGGTCTAAACATAATATAATACATTGTATAGTAGAGGGGATTCATTCCTCAAGCTAACCGACATCTTGCACAGGCTGAATAAAAGTTCTAAACAGGAACTATACAGCTCCAGATGTCTTACTCAGGGACGACTGTGTGTGCGAGATGTCAGCTAGCTTGAGAAATGAATTCCCTCTGCTATATAAACATAAGATACAGCTTAGATAGTTAAGGAAAGAAAATGAAAGTGATCTCTATCCAGATTTAGTTCACCAAAGAGCTTAAATCTCTCACTGGTCATGACAGAGAAGGCAGACGCTATGTACAGTATTTACAGGTTCATTGTACCAGGGAAATTTCCCTAGCTCTTTTTAACATAGACAATGAAGGTTCCAAGTTCCTCATGATCAGCATAAGAATTTTGGCAAATAAGAAGGCTTTTTAAATCTTTATCAAAGACCTGACTCTTGTCAAAAGCTTTCACATACTGCCTGACTGTGCAACTCTAATAAATGATGTATTTATCAGAAGCTGGTATGTTATGCCAAAGGGCAGTTATACCAGAATCTGATAATATTATACAGATATAGACACATTATACAAAATGTGATTTGCTTGTAAGCTGATTCTTGATTTCTAATTCTGATGACTATCTTGCATATTAGCCTCACTTCTGGCCATGCATGTTTTGATCCTACACTTTCCACAAACTAAGTCTTTGATATTCATCTTTTGACCAAAGGGCAAGTTTCCTCAGCAAGATTCCAACCAGGGGATTCTACTGGTCGCCTTAAAGTCTGCAACTCAAACTCCAGGGGAATATGGAGTCTTAAAGTAATGCCTTTATCAAGATTCTGGGCTCTTAAATGACTTGAGAAAAGTGCTGATGGAAAGACTTCAATCAGAAGGATTGGAGGATTAAGAAGTGTTTGGAAATGAGCAAAGTTTTCTACTTTGAAATCACCTCAGAGTCTCTAGACTAAGTGCTAACCCCCCCCAAAAAAACAAATCGGATGACACCCAGGCTACTTTTTTCTAGGGTCGGTCGGGAAACAGGAAACACAACATTTTTTCCAAGGCCTTATAAATGTGGGACTAAGCTAGAGCAATGCCCCGGCTTCCCCGGCGCCCACTTTATCATAGTTTGTGCCACGGTGTCGACCTTTCCACAGCCAAAACCACATAACCTGAAGGCCTAACATTTATCAACACTGCTTATATGACTCCCACAAGCTTTTATCATTGTGTAACAGAGGAAGTACGGACTAAAGGCACAACAGGGTGAGGCTTGGTCAGCCAACTACACTCTCATGCTGAAGTAGCCTCTATAGCATGCCAAAAACTGGGGGTTTGGGGGTCTTCATGGTCTTTGAGAGCTTTTATGTGTTATTTTCTGATTGCATATAGACAACATAGCCGGCGTGGTTAAATTACTGGAAGAACTGAGCTGATCAGAAAACAGCCGAAGACCACCAAACTCTCAGTTCTATAAGCCTGCTACGGAGGCTATGCTGAAGGCTGGACATTCATCACAGGAGCTTATGATTCATACAAGATTTTATCATTGTGTAACAGAGGAAAGTTCAATGGTAAGGCACAAAACAGTAAGGCTTGGTCAACCAACTACACTGATGCAAAAGGCTGGACATTCATCAAAAGAGCTAAATATGATTCATACAAGATTTTATCATTGTGTAGCAGGGGAAGTGAACAAGAAAGGCTTCTGACTAAAGACACAAAAGAGTAAGGCTTGGTCAGCCAGCTACACTGATGCTGAAGGCTGGACATTTATCACAAGAGCTTAAGATGATTCATATATTGTCAAGATTTTAAACCCCAAAGCAGAGACAGCCCACTGGTATGGAAGGTTTGCGAATGTCTGGTATAGGAGATAGCCAAGGCACAATAGAGACTGCACTGTAAATTTCAGCATAAAACCTGTTGTTCACTTCCCCGTTTGTGTACAATATACCATGTTTTTCTAAGGAACTACTGTACAGCAAATGCACAGAATAAGTTACAGTAACTACATGTGACATCCATAGCTGTTCAAGTGATCCCAAAGCTTTAATCATTGTATGCCTGAGGACACTAAATCAGAGCATTTTACATAACTTTTGTCAGGGAAGGCACAAGTCTGGTACACAAGACTGCCAATGCACAAAGGAGGAAGTCTGTACACTGAAGCATAAAAACAGCAAATGCACACCATAAGTTACAGTAACTACATGTGACATCCATAGCTGTTCCCAAAGCTTTAATCATTGTATGCCTGAGGACACTAAATCAGAGCATTTACATAACTTTTGGCAGAGAAGGCACAAGTCTGGTATACAAGACTGCCAATGCACAAAGGAGGAAGTCTGCACACTGAAGCATAAAAACAGTTATTCACATGCCTCTTCAAGTTAAACTTCATGTGTTTGTGCATATATCACTGTACACTGAAGCATAAACTTGTTATCCATGGTCCTATTCATGTTGAATTTGAATGTTTTGCTACTCAGTTACGGTCTTGCACCATAAATCGCTGTTACTGAAGCATGAAACCAGTTATCCACGGTCCTATTCATGTATAACTTGAATGTACACTTTGCAAGAGAGTTATAACTGTACCTATGAGGTTTTGCACAATATATCACAGCAACTGTGGCATTTGTAGCTGTTCAAGTGATCCCATGATTATACATTCAACTTTTGACATTTTTCTTTTTCAGAAGTTCTTAAGCCAACGTCAGCCCACACTTGAGTTTATGTAATATACTGTCTAATAAAAGTACTGTGACCAACCATGTCAGGGCTCGAAATCCATTTTGGGAATAGGTGCACTGGTGCACAAAACATTTTTTGGGTGCACCATAAAAAATCTAACTGCTCCTCTTCAGATTGAATCTGATTTGGGAGCTAACTTTAAAATATTAAACAAGTACTACAGAAAAGATTTTTTATCATTTTTCTCACACTTAGATGCCAAGCATACCCTGTATACTATTATACATTTAACATGTACAAAAATGCCTACAAAAATATTTGGGTGCAAAAAAATTGGTTTCACAGCTCCAAATTTGGGTGCACTAAGGTGCACATGCACCCAGTATTTCCAGCCCTGCATGTGAATGGTGTTACCCAACCCATGCCAGAAGGCTCTTCTAGTCATAGGAGCCTATGATTTATACAGAGACTGTCATAACTGCATAACTGTCCAGAAAAGACAGTAATATATGGACTTACATAAGCACAAAGGGTGAAGACTATAGACTGGAGCATAAAACTTGTTAATCACAGTCCAATTTCAGTTGAACTTGAATGTATATCTTGCAATATAACGGTTCTTACGGGGTACTGCACAGTAAGTCTCAGCAACCATGGCATTCAAAGCTGTTTAAGTGGTCTTGTGACAACATGTGGGGGTGGTGAGAACAGCTTTTGACATTTTTCTTCTGAAGAAGTTCTTCAGCCAAACTCAGATCACACTTAAGAGGTTTATGTATACTACTTTAAATGTATATATGCCCTAAAACATAACACACTGGCTTTGCAGGCATGCGGCATGGTGGCAGCTGGTTATATATACTATTAAGCTAAGGTAGAACAAAGAAAGAGGCATTCAGTCATCTCATGTCCACCTGTAATGACCATACAATAGAAAAACTTTGTGGATTTATCTCCAATTGCTTTAAAAAGAGAGAAGAAATCTTCAAGGCCTACATTAGCATATTCTCTAGTAGTTGTGACGACTTTTACATTATTCTGTTATCCTTATATCCTAATAGGATACACCAGTAATATGATACATAGTATGTATCATGTTACTCAGTATGATATACATGTAACATCACATTCTGATGTATGCATTTAGCCCCATGGGCATGAACATGCAATTAAAGATTCAGTTATATTTACTAACAGTGATCATCCTGTCATACTTGCAAATCTTAACTCTAAACATTGTTTAAAGCTGACTAGTGATGATGCCCCTACAGTACTTGGTGGCAGCAAGTTCCACTTACTAAGGCCACACCAAGTAAATTTTATGGATGACGTCCTTAGGAGACCCTAAATCTAATGCGAGAGGGCGAAAAAAAAACAAGAAGGGCCCTAAAAAACAAGATGCCTAATTAAGAAATATTGCACTGCTGACAGGACCATCCTGTCTGTTAATAGTTCCAAAAACGGTACTGTTTTGGAACTATTGACGGGATTTTTTCAGTGCCATTTTGTTTGTATTTTTTTCATTTTTGTTTTCATTTTTTTAACCAGGCACAGGCTTTCGGCGTTACGGGTTTCACGATCTGACGATTTGCGGCACTGTTGTGACTCTTTGGTCATAGTTACAGGAAGCGAAATTTCTTTTTTTTTTTCTAGGAACAGGCCAAAATCAATGCGCGCGCGGACGTCATCCATAAAATTTACTTGGTGTGGCCAAATAGGAAAAAACAAGTTTTTGAACAGCTTAGTGCTCTGTAAAACATCATCTGTAACTACAAGAAGTTGAGTTTTTGAGGCCGTTGAACTTTTGGAACTGCCGAGATGAGAAAGGACATCATAAAATGAGCACCGGATCCATAATACTCTCCGGCGCCAGGTCCAATTTGCTGGGAATTGGATCCCAAACAAGGCCGTTTATTCAAGGTCATCTGGAACCGCCAAGGTCATCTCAATGTCATCGAGGTGACAAAAGGGGGCAATGATGAGTCTCTGTAAGCAACTGAGTTGACACACATGTGATTATGTTTGAACCAAGGTTTATTATGCTGGCTCGAGCCATTGCTTGCATCTTGAGAAGCAAATTTGTCGACGCTAGGTGCTAGTCGCGACTTCATATGGCCGATAGCAATCTAAACAAGATGAACTTAGTCAAACGAATTGAGTGTAGGAAACCACTTTTCATACATACCATGCACGATGTAATGACAGGTTTTATTGAACAAC